TATTTAAAAAAAGGTTACACTACACTAGGATTACAACCCCAATAAATGTTTCTACACATTTTCAGCAAAATAAATAAATAGATCTGCTGATGATGAAACATGATTAAAGTGTCAGAGCAGCTTCTTAAATTGGTGAAACTGTCAAAATATTACCCATGAAGAAAAATTAAAATATTGATTTCAGTCTTTTATAAGAAGGTCCCACAGACATATTATCTGTTACTAAAACAAAATTGTAAGTGTGAAATTAGCCTTGTGGAAACATTTTCACAGGATCCCTCCAGACAATTTCATCATCTTATTTTGTTGTGATGATTTTACTTTGGTGTATGTTCTTCTTTTACGTAAATGTGCCCACTATTTGCTTTAGACTTAAAGTGACACTAAACTCAGGAGTTACATCTTAAAAATACATTCAAGTACCCTAACTAATAACAAACATATATCTTATTTGTGTATCACTCAGCTGTAGATCATCAAATCATCTCTGAATTGGTGCCGACACCGTCCTTCCTTCTGGAGGGTGGCTACTTTTGTTCCCCATGGTTCCTGTGTGTGTTGTAAAGTAGTCACCGCTCCAAGCTCGCTCCTGTGATGGACTACAATCTCATGTTTAGCATACTAATTTGTATTGATATTGTAGTCCATCACAGGAGTGAGCTTGGAGTGGTGGCTACTTTACAACACACACAGCGACCATGGGGAACAAATATAGCCATCCTCCAGAAGGAAAGACAGTGTCAGCACCAATTCAGAGATGATTTGAGGATCTACAGATGAGTGATACACAAATAAGAGACATCTTTCTTAAAAGTTAAAGGTACCTGAATGTATTTTTAAGATTCAACTCCTGAATTTAATACTGCAGAAATCAGCAGCGAGGGGAGCAGGAAAGGTGAATATGGAGTATTTCACTTCTTTACAGAGAGCCCTATATGCATGCTGTAGTATCACTTTAATTTGTGAGGAACTGCTGCAATTATGGGAAACAGACATCTGTGATGTATTGTTATCTGCTTGAATATCATTTAAAGGAAAGAAAATCTGGTCACACAATTTCTGTTGTTCACCAAACAGCTGGATCATTCAAGAAAGACTGGGCAGGCCAGGATACATTGTAGGCCAGATATTAACTCATGCAGGGTTTACAGGTTGAAATAATCACATGAAACAATGCATATAGTACTGGAAACCTGCAACTGTGATTGAGTGAATACATATTAAGATTCACACTCACACAGTGCAACAAAAATGGTATCTGTGCATCCCTTTATTTATGTTTATAAAACTAAAATCATACAATAAAACAGATGTACAAATCCCGGAAGCTCCGTGTGCTCCTTACAAATGACAGCCACCTCCTAACTTTTGAATTTTTCTCTAGTCTAGGAGCTCGAAAAGTATCGGTACATGTACCAAGTATGGCACTTGGTATCTGAACATGCCTAGTTTAATTGATGGGAGAATACTGTTCTGAGAAGGTCAGGTCATGTATGGCATCTCCTTCTGAAAGAACCCATGTGCATACTGAACCGGTTACCCACACACATACATACACATACATACACATATCTTTGTTATTGACCCGACAGACAGGAACAATTAGCCCGTACTTTTGCTTCATCTATTCTTAAATGGCAGATTAGTTACTATACACATTTATGGTTTGTTATTGTTTGACAGCAGGTCTAATCACAAAAGGGTGACACGTTTGGAGAAGGCAGGAGAAGTGAACAATCTAGGACATAATAGCTGAACTGGAAACATTCTCCCATTCATCTCACTTTCAAGTTCAGTTATATTGTCCTAGATTGTTCACTTCTCCTGTCTTCCCCAAACTCTTCACCATTTTGTGAATAACCCTGTTGGTTTCAGCAGCTTTCAGTGCTGCTGTTATTCTGCAAACAACTGAATGGCAGGAGGGGTTCTAACATTATTAAAGACTGGCTTCTTCATTATATTAGAGGGCTCGGGAGGCACATTGCTTTAAAGTGACACACCATTTTAAGGGTATATCTTACAAAAATTATTTATCTTGTACAACAATCAGAAATTTTGCACAGCAAGTACTAAATTAATAGGCCTATTAAATGTCATTTTAAAGTGGTACACCAGACAACTTTTTTGTTTTGGATAGAGATAAGGGTTTTTATTGATGTTCACCGATTGAGTAGACATCCTGTTACTTACTTTTATGGCATCGGGACACAAGAGCAGCCATAAATGTTTTTTTTTTTTCTAGAGTATTTAATTCATTTGTGTTCCCAAATGAAAGATTTTCCTAATTGACTCTCCTGTCACCCGGGACAAGAAAAAAAAGAGAAAATCTCTCCATTTTAACCAATACATTAAAAAAATGCCTGGAGTTCCACCAATGGTTATACCGAATGCCTTAAACTAAGCTTATACACAAGTAGTGCCTTCTACAGGTTTTCTAAAATACAGCAGTGTACTTGCTGACAAGAGACTGTGCCTAGACATCCCTGTGACTTAAGTGATATAGCTGTATATCTACAGTGTGGGATCATCTAAGGCACTGCTGCCTCTACTAGTTGCATGTCATTTGTAGTGAGATTTGGTGAAGTCAATGCTGTGTTGCTTACTGTTTCCTAAGGGCTTACTGGAAAGCAAGCTGTACCTGAGGATCTGCAACGCAAGCATCCCCCTGCTTCATTTATTTTGTGTATCTATGCTTCTTTTCCTCTCCTGCTGCTTAATCATTACCCCACCAGTTATCCAATCACCAGTCATCAGGGGGCAGCCCTAGCATGAGCAAGCAAAGCCCTGCTGCTCTACCGAGTGGGCCACCTTCACACATAGGGACAGTGCAGAACAAGGCATGGTAAGGCAGTAATAGGGAAAATATCAGCTGCAGGGGCACCACAAGCTATATTGGTGACTAATACTTTGCTATCTGCTTCCACAGTACAGGTCCACATTAACATATGGGGAAAACCCAAATCTTTCTCAAAAAAATGAAAATGGAAACAAACTTTTGCCTTGTTTTTATATAGGCATAAATTATTCTAGATGTAATGAAGTGGGACATTCTTGCCCAGTATGGACACTTGGGGACCCTAGGGCTATTCATCTGGGTAAGTGGAATAGTGACAACTCTGCCTATCATGCTCTACGGAGGATTTCATCTAAAATGCACAGAAAACTGAAGGTCAGGTGACCAGGAATTTACAAACAGTCTGATCCCGCCTGGGGGACTGAAAAGGTGCTGCTAGCAGAATAAACGTACTGTGCTAAGTGCTTTTTGTCTACAAAAGGCACAATGGTATGTAATAGTTAATACAATTCAAATGATGCTGCTGGTTTTTTTTTTTTCATGATTACAAGCCTGAAACATTGCCAACAATTTTTATAACAAGTAATTTTTTTTCCACATCATACAGAAAAGTGTTTTGCCATAAAATATACCTAATTTTTTTTCACAACATATCTTATGTATATTAAGTACTTAATACATATAGTAGGGAGAGTCCTTACTACCAGTAAGTGTTTGAAGACATGGTTTCCTAAAGCTAACTCTATCCAGACCAAAGCAGTCATGACACAAGAGCCAAGTAAAGTATCTAGGTCAGTGATGGCCAAACTCCGGGCCTCCAGCTGTGGTGAAACTACAAATCCCATGAAGCATCTCTCTCCGGGAGTCATGTCTGTGGCTGTGAGAATCTTGCAATGCCTCACGGGATTCGTAGTTCCACCGCAGCTGGAGGGCCGCAGTTTGGCCATCCCGGATCTAGGTTAACCACATGTAAGCAATCCTACCAACTGATGCTTGCTGATAAATGGGATTGTGTACACTGCATCTGTGTCACCAGAGATAAATCAAATACCAGTGATGGACACTGAAGACTATTTCTTGGCAGCATTTACAAATATGTCCAAAACACGTACATTTGGATACAATTTAATGAAATTATCATTATTGGATAAGCTGCTCTTTCTTTTTCATAGCCTCTGCAAGAGAGATTTGTCAACCAAGTTACTGACAGTCAAGCTTCGTGTGCAAGTCCAGATGCACCGCATTTTGAAAAGGTATGCTTTCTCTTTTTTGACCAATGAATTTGCAATCCTGGGCCGTGACAGTTATACAAAACGTACACAAAATGTAAGTGATCAGGGTCATGTATTCTTGGATGGTCAAGGACATGCTTTGGTGAAAGGATACCTTTAAGAAGCAAAGAGGGCGATTTAAAAAAAAAAATGCAATCTTATAGTAGTTTCTGTCTCGTTGTTGTGCTGCGCAACAAGCTAAAACACATATCCCCCTGTAATAGGAAATCAACAACCCAATAGTGTTGTTGTGACAGTTCAGTGTGTGCGCCCAGCATATGTGAACCCTTGACGGCCACAACCTCAGTTTTCTGTCTCTGCAAATACACTAGACCACCATTCTCGAAACGTACATTGAATGTTCAATTCCTGGGCAAAGTGTAAAAGGGATTCAATACATGGCTAAAATGGCTTGCAGCAGTTTAAAGGTGTAAGAAAATATACATTTTATAAATGTAGATGTCACCAGCTTCAAGACTGCAAAAAAAAGCGACTAGAAAAAAAAAAGCTAAAAGATAAATGTATAGTTTGTTGCCAACTGTACAATTATTCTGTGCATTTCATGAAAAAATGCAAAACACATCTTATTCTCTTCAAAGGTGATGAATATGGAATTTCATTGCGTTGACTAAATGGCACTGTCCATCCAACATCCCCCATGGTTTTATGGTCCATTGATCATATACAAGGTGAAGGTGATGCTTCATTTTTTTTTTTTTTTAAAAATATG